TTTCGCAAACTGTTATAAACGTTTGTTTAGATAAAGCTCCTCAAAAGTGTCTCCTATAGAACACCGTTCAAAAATTTGGCAATTTTGTCCGGGAAGCCGTCAAAGGTGGCATTAATTAATGTTGAAGAAGTGTAAAAAATACTGCTACATGCAAGAAAAATCTAAGGGACGGGGTTTTCAGCAAATATTTCAAAACAGTAACTTTTTAAATTGCTTGTTCTGCTATTTGCAGCTACCCAACGGACTTGCGTAAGAAAGACCTCAACAAAGTGCTTTCCTGTCAGGAAATTCCCTCGGTGAATCTGCCCGTAGAAGACGTCTTGAACAAGGTTTAAAGTATGTACGCGAAAGTAAAATCATTAGACGACCTCCCATATTATAATGACCAGTTCTTTCTCTATTTCAAAAGTTCGAAATGGGAATTCGCTGTGAGATAAGCGGCACTATGCCAAAAGTGACAGCTTCTGAAGCGCACACACCTTTAGAAATCGTAGTATTTGTATACTCGTGTTCACTTCTAATTTTATTTTCAAGAAAACGAGCAAAAAAATGCCTTGTTTTGGGAAAGGTTCCAGGAGTTTTGGCGGAATGCCACTGTGTTGTACGGAAATGGTCGGAAGTTATGCGAGCGACTTCCCAAGAGGTATGCAAAACTTTTGTGTAACACATGTAAATGAGGTGTGTCAAAGAGCTATCGTTTATTAGTGTATAATCTGCTTGTTTTCCAAATTTCTCGCTCTTTGGCCTCCTTTCTGCCGAGATATTACCAGAAATGTGAGACTGTTTTCGTTTTTACACATATCTTTTGTCTTAATTACTTTAATAACTTCGTTAATTGCTCGGAAACAGCTGTGAATTTTCTTACCACGTACTTGACAGATACAGAATATGTGAAAAAAATATGGGGTCTGGACTAGTCTGAGAAAGCTAGGCCGTCCTAAAATGACGGCCTGAAAACCTAATTTACTAAAAAATAAGGAGATACTGAGGTCAAGGTGTACTGCTCAACTTTGTTCCCATCACTGCTCAATTGTTTTGCTTTAAGTGCTCAATTTTGTTTCCCAAAGTACTTCATATTTTTTTGTGCGCAATAAATTTCTGGGAAACCTACAGAGGAATACAGTAA